TGTATTTTATACTGCTCATCACGTTGACATTGTTGTTGTAACGTATTTTACTATTGTTGTTACCAATGGCTTGTGACAGTATTTTATACTGCTCATCACGTTGACATTGTTGTTGTAACGTATTTTACTATTGTTGTTACCAATGGCTTGTGGCTGTATTTTCTACTGCTCATCACGTTGACATTGTTGTTGTAACGTATTTTACTATTGTTGTTACCAATGGCTTGTGGCTGTATTTTCTACTGCTAATCACGTTGACATTGTTGTTTTAACGTATTTTATTACTGTTTTTTAAAGGCATAAGGAAAGTGATTATTTTGGTGACACATCGACAGCTCTCTTTCGACACAGACTGTGCTACACGTCAGGAAATACTGTTTTATTTAAAACTAAATTGTGTTAAAATGACTTTATTCAGTTTACTTGTTCCTCTACACGCCAGTTTCACTACAAAAAAATTGTTTAAACGACATAGCAGCTCAATGTTATTCATGTTCAACGTCTGTCTGGTGAACTGTGTTATTCATGTTCAACGTCTGTCTGGTGAACTGGTGGTAATACAATGATTTGACTCGGATCCCCCGAAAACCACATGTAGATCTTCTTGAGAACTCGTGGGGTTGACGATCTATAGAAGATCTCCTGAGGATCCCGTGAAGATCCCAAGAATATCTCCTGAAGAACTCGTGAAGGTAAATATCTCCTGGGGAACACGTAAATATCTCATGAAGATGTCATAGGAACTCTTTAAAAATACATTAAGATCTCCTGGGGAACACGTAAATATCTCATTAAGATGTCATAAGAACTCTTTAAGAATACATTAAGATCTCCTGGGGAACACGTGAATATCTCCTTAACATATCACAATTTCTTGAAGATAACATGACGATCCCATGAACTTCTAACGGACTCATGAAGATCTTTTGAAAACCTTATAAATATCTCATGAATATCTTATAATGATTGCTGGAAGTGAATGACCATGTTCTCTAACTACCAGTTCTCTACGTATATAACTATTTGATTTACTGGAGTGAGATCTGTCGTTACGTTTTTTTGTATTAAAACTTCAATTGGAAAGAACTCAACACTAGTTTAAATGTTTACTCGCGAATGTTTATTAAGTAATTTTTCGACGTACAACAACATATACTGGGAGATATATCGAACAAAAAAATAAGGAAAAGCTAGCGTTACAAATAAGTACTTGAGGTAACTTACACTTACACCTGTCACACAGGAGCCAAGCCAACTTGGCGGGATGGGAGGGTGAAAGGAGGAAATTTAAGTTCCACTTACACCAAAGGGGTTTGACAGGGCAGGAAGGAAATTAAAGTTCCTGAACGATGTTAAGTACGTATCCCAAGTCAGAATTACAGTTAATATTTTCTTTAGATAACTTTTACCTCTCTTTTCTACTATAAAACTTTTTCTTAAAACTTTGCAAGGAAAGAAAGACACGCGATCTATTTAACCGCCCAACCTAGAAAGTCAATTTGTTGATGAGCTCAGAAATTTTAAATTGAATCGTTCTTCTATTAAACAGTTTCCTTATTGAATTTCAATCTGCACATCCGCCTATCCATCTTATACATCTCTCTCTCTCTGTGTTGGTAATAATTTACAATTTTTCAAGGATTATTAAACACAGCACGGTCTACGTTACATATTCATGTTTATTCTACTCTTGACATGAAAACTATAACATAATTAAAACTAAAAACGCAACGGGTCTTCAAACACTTATATTCTACATCTTGACGTTCGGGTGTGTCGTTACTTTTATCGTACCGTACATTAACGTTTCGATATGTCGTTTCGGAAATAAATGCGTAAGGCGAAACGTCGGGTTTGAATAAGATAGTTTTTTTTTTCTGGAGTGTGTTAGTAGTTTCTTGTAAACAAAGGTTTTCGTTCCATACCTTAACGTTTGGACATGTCGTTTCGGAAATAAATGCGTAAGGCGAAACGTCGGGTTTGAATAAGATAGTTTTTTTTTTTCTGGAGTGTGTTAGTAGTTTCTTGTAAACAAAGGTTTTCGTTCCATACCTTAACGTTTGGACATGTCGTTTCGGGAACGAAGGCGTAGTTGTCTTTATCCATCAAGTATCTAGCGAACCCTTCAAATGAGAGCCACAAGTTTTTGCGCATGACAAGGTCTGGCTCGTGACGCTGAAAAGACATGAAAAATTGTACACTTTATATAATGGAAGTAAGATAGCATTAAGTGTAAGTTTCATGAAAGTAAAACAGTATTAAGTGTAAGTTTCATGGATATAAGACAGCATTAAGTGTAAGTTTTATAAAAGTAAGACAACATTAAGTGTAAGTTTGATGGATACAAAACAGCATTAAGTATAAGTTTGATGGATATAAAACAACATTAAGTGTAAGTTTTATAAAAGTAAGACAGTATTAAGTGTAAGTTTTATAAAAGTAAGACAGTATTAAGTGTAAGTTTTATAAAAGTAAGACAGTATTAAGTGTAAGTTTGATGGATATAAAACAGTATTAAGTGTAAGTTTGATGGATATAAAACAACATTAAGTGTAAGTTTTATAAAAGTAAGACAGTATTAAGTGTAAGTTTGATGGATATAAAACAACATTAAGTGTAAGTTTTATAAAAGTAAGACAGTATTAAGTGTAAGTTTGATGGATATAAAACAGTATTAAGTGTAAGTTTCATGGATATAAGACAGC